AAATAAATCATTCTCTCTACTACCGGGTTTGGCCGGTGTAGGCCGTCATTGTAAATAAGAATGTGTTCTTAACTGACTTGCCTAGTTAAATAAAGGTAAAATAAAAAATAAAAAATAAAAATACAAATTATTTTGACATTTGACATTCTTAAAATAAAGTGATGATCCTAACTTACCTAAGACAGGGAATTTTTACTAGGATTAAATGTCAGGAATAGTGAAAAAAACTGAGTTTAAATGTATTTGGCTAAGGTGTATGTATACTTCCGACTTCAACTGTAGGTGTTCCTTTTTGTCCAGGTGGGAAAGGGCAGTGAGGACTGCAATAGAGATTGCGTCATCTGTGGATCCGTAGGGGCGGAATGCAAATTGGAGTGGGCCTACCGTGAGTCTACTGTGAGTTCTACAGCTGCACCATCGAGAGCATACCGCGACTGGTTGCATCACCGCCTACAGTCTACTGTGAGTTCTACAGCTGCACCATCGAGAGCATACCGCGACTGGTTGCATCACCGCCTACAGTCTACTGTGAGTTCTACAGCTGCACCATCGAGAGCATACCGACTGGTTGCATCACCGCCTACAGTCTACTGTGAGTTCTACAGCTGCACCATCGAGAGCATACCGACTGGTTGCATCACCGCCTACAGTCTACTGTGAGTTCTACAGCTGCACCATCGAGAGCATACCGACTGGTTGCATCACCGCCTACAGTCTACTGTGTCTACTAAGTCTACTATGAGTCTACTGTGAGTCTACTGAGCCTAACGTGAGTCTACCGTGAGTCTACTGTGCGTCTACTATGAGTCTACTGTGTGTCTACTGTGAATCTACTATGAATGTACCGTGAATCTACCGTGAATCTACCGTGAGTCTACCGTGAGTCTACCGTGAGTCTACTGAGAGTACTGTGGGTCTACTGAATCCACTGTGAGTCTAATAAGTCTACTCTGAGTCTACTGAGAGTACTGTGAGTCTACTGTGTGTCTACTGTGAATCTAATATGAATCTACCGTGAATCGACCGTGAATCGACCGTGAATCTACCGTGAGTCTACCGTGAGTCTACCGTGAGTCTACCGTGAGTCTACTGTGAGTTTACTGAGTCTACTGTGTGTCTACTCTGGGTCTACTGAGTGTACTTTCAGTCTACTAAGTCTACTGTGAGTATGCTGTGAGTCTACTGAATCTAACGTGAGTCTACCGTGAGTCTACCGTGAGTCTACTGTGAGTCTACTGTGAGTCTAACGTGAGTCTAACGTGAATCTACCTGAGTCTACCATGAGTCTATTGTGTCTATTGTGAGTCTACTGTGTCCACTGTGAGTCTGAGTCTACTGAGAGTCTACCGAGAGCCTATTGTGATTCTACTGTTAGTCTACCGAGAGTATTTCGAGACTCTACCGTGAGTCTACCGTGCGTCTACTGTGAGTCTGAGTTTACTGTGAGTCTACTGTGAGTCTGAGTCTACTGAGAGAGTCTACTGAGAGTCTACCAAGAGTCTACTGAGAGTCTAATGAGTCTACCGTGAGTCTACCGCGAGTGTTCTGTGTCTACTATGAGTGTACTGTGAGTCTACCATGAGTCAACTGAGAGTCCACTATGAGTCTACTGAGTGTGCTGTGAGTCTACTGTGAGTCTGAGTTTACTGAGAGCCTACAGAGAGTCTACTGAGAGTAAAATAAAAATAAAAAATAAATTGGTCATTTAGCAGACGCTCTTATCCAGAGCGACTTACAGGAGCAATTAGGGTTAAGTGCCTTGCTCAAGGGCACATCGACAGATTTTTCACCTAGTCGGCTTGGGGATTAGAACCAGCGACCTTTCGGTTACTGGTACAACGCTCTTAACCACTAAGCTACCTGCCGCCCTGTACAGTGAGTCTACTAAGAGTCTACCAATAATCTACAGTTAGTCTACAGTGAGTCTACCGTGAGTCTACTGTGAGTCTACTGAGAGTCTACTAAGAGTCTACTGTGAGTCTACTGAGAGTCTACTAAGAGTCTACTGTGAGTCTACTAAGAGTCTACTGTGAGTCTACCAAGAGTCTACCAAGAGTCTACCGAGTGTCTGCCGAGAGTCTATTGAGAGTTTACTGTGTCTACTATGAGTCTTATGTGAGTCTACTGTGAGTCTAATGTGAGTCTACTGTGAGTCTGAGTCTACTGAGAGTCTACAGAGAGTCTACCGAGAGTCTACTGTGAGTGTACCGAGAGTCTACTGTGAGTCTATTTTAAGTCTACTGTGAGTCTACTGTGAGTCTACCGTGAGTCTACTGTGAGTGTACCGAGAGTCTACTGTGAGTCTACTGTGAATCTGCTGTGAATCTACTGTGAAATAATTGTGGATCTACTTAGTCTACTGTGGGTCTACTGAGTCTACTGAGAGTCTACTGAGAGTCTACCGTGAGTCTACTGAGAGTCTACTGAGAGTCTACTGAGAGTCTACTGAGAGTCTACCGTGAGTCTACTGAGAGTCTACTGAGAGTCTACTGAGAGTCTACTGAGAGTCTACTGAGAGTCTACTGAGAGTCTACCGTGAGTCTACTGAGAGTCTACTGAGAGTCTACTGAGAGTCTACTGTAAGTCTACTATTTGTCTTAGTCTGCTGAGAGTCTAATGAGAGTCTACCGAGAGTCTACCGAGAGTCTACTGTGAGTCTACCGTGAGTCTACTGTGTCTACTAGGAATCTACCATTAATATACTGTTAGTCTACTATGAGTCTACGGTGAGTCTACCGTGTGTCTACCGAGAGTCTACCGAGAGTCTACCGAGAGTCTACTGTAAGTCTACTATTTGTCTTAGTCTGCTGAGAGTCTAATGAGAGTCTACCGAGAGTCTACCGAGAGTCTACTGTGAGTCTACCGTGAGTCTACTGTGAGTGTACCGAGAGTCTACTGTGAGTCTATTTTAAGTCTACTGTGAGTCTACTGTGAGTCTACCGTGAGTCTACTGTGAGTGTACCGAGAGTCTACTGTGAGTCTATTTTAAGTCTACTGTGAGTCTACTGTGAGTCTACTGTGAGTCTACTGTGAGTTTACTGTGAGTCTACTGTGTATAATTGAGAGTCTAATGGGAGTCTACTGTGAGTCTACCGTGAGTCTACTGTGTGTCTACCGAGAGTCTACTGTGAGTCTATTTTAAGTCTACTGTGAGTCTACTGTGAGTCTACCGTGAGTCTACTGTGAGTCTACCGTGAGTCTACCGTGAGTCTATTTTAAGTCTACTGTGAGTCTACTGTGAGTCTACCGTGAGTCTACCGAGAGTCTACTGTGAGTCTATTTTAAGTCTACTGTGAGTCTACTGTGAGTCTACTGTGAGTCTACTGTGTATAATTGAGAGTCTAATGAGAGTCTACCGAGAGTCTACTGTGAGTCTACCGAGAGTCTACCGAGAGTCTACTAAGAGTCTACTGTGAGTCTACCGAGAGAATACGGTGAGAGTACCGTGAGTCTACCGAGAGTCTACCGTGAGTCTACCGAGAGTCTACTGTAAGTCTACAGTGAGTCTACCGTGAGTCTACCATGAGTCTACCGTGAGTCTACAGTGAGTCTACTGTGAGTCTACTATGAGTCTAATGTGATACCATATTAACTTTGTCTTGCTTACCCTTCTTTCTTTTTCCTCCCATTCTCTTTCCCTCTCCTCTCCTCTCTTCCCCTCTACTCTCCTCTCTTTCCCTCTCCTCCCCTCTCCTCACCTCTCTTACCCTCCCCTCTCCTCTCCTATTGTTCCCTTTCCTCTCTTCCCCTACCCTCTCCTCTCCTCTCTTTCCCTCTCCTCTCCTCCCCTCTCCTCTCTTCTCCTCTCCTCACCTCTCTTCCCCTCCCCTCTCCTCTCCTCTCTTTCCCTCACCTCTCCTCTCTTCCCCTCCCCTTTCCTCCCCACTCTTTCCCTCTCCTCTCCTCTCTTCCCCTCTCCTCACCTCTCTTCCCCTCCCCTTTCCTCTCCTCTCGTTCACTGCCCTCTCCTCTCTTCCCCTCTCCTATCTTCCCCTCAATTATTTCCCTCTCCTCTCCTCCCCTCTCCTCTCTTCCCCTCTTCTCACCTCTCCTCCCCTCCCCTCTCTTCCCCTCTCCTCCCCTCTCCTCCCCTCTCCTCTCTTCCCTTCTCTTTCCCTCTCCTCTCCTCTCCTCCCCTCTCCCCTCCTCCCCTCCACTCTCTTTCCCTCTCCTCTCTTTCCCTCTCCTCTCCTTTCCTCTCCTCCCATCTCTTCCCCTCTCCTTTCCTCTCCTCTCTTTCCCTCCCCTCTCCTCTCTTCCGCTCCCCTCTCTTCCCTTCCCTTCTCTTTCCCTCTTTTCCCCTCCCCTCTCCTCTCCTCCCTTCTCTCTGCTCTTTCCCTCTCCTCTCCCTCCTTCCTCGTCCTCTCCTCTCTTTCCCTCTCCTCTCTTCTCCCCCCCACCTTTCTTCCCCTCTCCCCTCCCCCCTCCCCTCTCTTGCCCTATCTTCCCCTCTCCTCTCCTTTCTTCCCCCCTCATCACCTCTCTTCCCCTCCCCTTTCCTCTCCTCTCTTTCACTCCCCTCTCCTCTCCTATTTTCCCCTCGATTTCCCTCTCCTCTTCTCACCTCTCCTCCCCTCTCCTCTCTTCCCTCCTTCTTCCCTTCTCTTCCCTCCTCCCTCTCCTCTCCTCCCCTCCCCTCTTCCCCTTCCTCTCCTCTCCTCCCCTCTCTTCCCCTCTCCTTTCCTCTCCTCTCTTTCCCTCCCCTCTCCTCTCTTTCTCGCCCCCCTCTCCTCCCCTCTCCTCTCTTCCCTTCTCTTTCCCCCCTCCTCTCCTCTCTTCCCCCTCTCCTCTCCTCCCCTTCTGTCTCTTTCCCTCTCCTCTCCTCTCTCTCACCTCTCCTCTCCTCTCTTCCCCTCTCCCCTCCTCCCCTCCCCTCTCCTCTCTTGGCCTCTCTCCCCTCTTCTCTCCTATCTTCCCCTCTCCTCACCTTTCTTCTCTTCCCCTCTCCTTTTCTATTCTCTCCTCCCCTCTCTTCCACCTCTCCTCTCCTCTCTTCCCTCTCATTTCCTCTCCTTTCTTCCCCTATCTTTCCCTATCCTCTCCTCCCCCCTCCCCTCTGTCTCCTCTCTTCCACTCTCCTCTCCTCTCCTTTCCCTCTCCTCGCCTCTCCTCGCCTTTCCTTTCCTCTCCTCTCCTCTCCTCTCCTCTTCTCTCCTCTCCTTTCCTCTTCTCTCTTCCCCTCTCATCTCTTTCCCTCTCCTCTCCTCCCCCTCCACTCCCCTCCCATCTCCTCTTTCCCCTCTTCCTCTCTTTCCCTCTCTCTTTCCCTCCCCTCTCCTCTCTTCCCTCCACTCGTCTCTTCCCCTCCCCTCTCTTGCTCCTCTTCCCCTCTCCTCCTCTACCCTCCCCTCTCTCTCCCTCCCATCTCCTCTCTTCCCCCCTCCTCTCCCTCCACTCCCCTCCCCTCTCCTCTTCCCCTCTCCTCTATTTCCCTCCCCTCTCCTCTCTTCCCCTCTCCTCTCTTCCCCTCCCCTCTCTTCTCCTCTTCTCTCTTCCCCTCTCCTCTCTATCCCTCCCCTCTCTATCCCTCCCCTCTCCTCTCCTCCTCTTCCCCCTCCTCTCTCCTCTCCTCTCCTCTCCTCTCCTCTCCTCTCCTCTCCTCTCCTCTCCTCTCCTCTCCTCTCCTCTCCTCTCCTCTCCTCTCCTCTCCTCTCCTCTCCTCTCCTCTCCTCTCCTCTCCTCTCCTCTCCTCTCCTCTCCCTTTCATGACTCTTTCTTTATGTTTCCTGTAATCAGATCAAAACAAGGCCACAAGGAGCACAATATACAGCATCCTAAAACGAGGTAATTTGACACATCGACCCCCAGCAACAACAAACAATGGCACAGTAGAGAGCAGAGTGCAGTTTGAACACAGTAGAGAGCAGAGCGCAGTTTGAACACAGTAGAGAGCAGAGCAGTGAGCAGTTTGAATGGATGACTGGATGGATAAGCCATTGGCCAAACTGAGAGGAGATACATATAACAGCAGCATGGAGGGAGAAGCATGTTATTGATAGAGTGGAGTCTGTATTGATTTCTATCCAGTGGTGCAGTGATTTAGGTGGAAAAGCTTATAGGAAGGAAGTATGCATCTGATCAGAGCCTGTAAAGCATCTCAGAGAAGGAGTGCTAATCTAGGATCAGGTGTTTAGGTCCCCCTGTCCATGTTATCTTATTCATTTTGAGCTGAAAGGCAACTCCTACTCTTAAACGCTTTTTAAATATGGAGATACCCATATCAGAGTCGATACTCCTACCTAGATTAAAACCACTATTCTGATGTTTTTTATCCAACTCAGTTTTATCCAACCATTTACATCTGTTAAGGAGCACGCTGAAACCACCCACACTGAATCCTTGGCTCCATGGTTGTTGCATATTTGTTGATGTTTTCTTGTCTTTTCTTTCCAAGGCCATACAGCCTCTCTCTCACTGTAACGATACCACGCGATCCTCATCATACATCCATGGTCTTCTCCTCAGGATGTTGCCAATGGAATTTGGTTTGTATTCTCAGGCTCTTATCCCAAATGGCACCCTTTTCCCTTTATAGTGCATTACTTTTGATGGGCTCTGGTCAAAAGTAGCGCAGTACAAAATGAACAAGGTGCCATTTGATATGCACATCTTGGTTTGTAATCACTACAGAGATGTTTAACTCAGTAATACCATGCAGCCTACCAACAATAAACCAGTGAGACATCTCTACCTCAATAATACCATGCAGACTACCAACAATCAACCATTGAGTGTCACGATCGTCGTAAGAACCGGACCCAGGCGCAGCGTGATAGGCGTGCATCTTTTAATGAGTACTTTAACACATGAACAAAACAACAAAACGATACGTGAAGTCTAAAGGTTCACCAACACAAACCTATACAGATCAAGATCCCACAATGAACTGTGCAAAACAGGCTGCCTAAGTATGGTTCCCAATCAGAGACAACGAGAATCAGCTGCCTCTGATTGGGAACCACCCTGGCCAACATAGGAAACACGAACTAGAACGAAACATAGAAAATACAACATAGACACTACACACCCTGGCTCAACATTAAAGAGTCCCCAGAGCCAGGGCGTGACATTGAGACATCTCTACCTCAATAATACCATGCAGCCTACCAACAAAGAACCATTGAGACATCTCTACCTCAATAATACCATGCAGACTACCAACAATGAACCATTGAGACATCTCTACCTCAATAATACCATGCAGCCTACCAACAATAAACCAGTGAGACATCTCTACCTCAATAATACCATGCAGCCTACCAACAATGAACCATTGAGACATCTCTACCTCAATAATACCATGCAGCCTACCAACAATGAACCATTGAGACATCTCTACCTCAATAATACCATGCAGCCTACCAACAGTGAACCATTGAGACGTCTCTACCTCAATAATACCATGCAGCCTACCAACAATGAACCATTGAGACATCTCTACCTCAATAATACCATGCAGCCTACCAACAGTGAACCATTGAGACATCTCTACCTCAATAATACCATGCAGCCTACCAACAATGAACCACTGAGACATCTCTACCTCAATAATACCATGCAGCCTACCAACAATGAACCATTGAGACATCTCTACCTCAATAATACCATGCAGCCTACCAACAGTGAACCATTGAGACATCTCTACCTCAATAATACCATGCAGACTACCAACAGTGAACCACTGAGACATCTCTACCTCAATAATACCATGCAGCCTACCAACAGTGAACCATTGAGACATCTCTACCTCAGTGTAGCGCAGTGGTCACTAAACGGTTGACTGCGATCTACTGGTCGATCTCCAAGGCATTCCTAGTCGATCACCAAACATTTCTTTTTTTTTTAAACAACGATAAAGCCTTGCGTTCCTATTTTTTTTAAAATAATTTTGTGCTGTTGATGTTAGATGCACTTGATTCAGCAGCCCCAGCGCCGGAGAGGCAAAGTGTTTCCATTTTGAACCATTTCATGTATCTGAAGGTAGAACTCTGCCTACCCGGCAGGCCCAGAGAGCAAATCGAGTGGACCTATAGGCCTACGGCTGGCCAATCGGAGAGCTCAGATCCCTGTGTCTGAACAGTTTCCTCGAGCCATAGACTGTAAAACGAAATATTGAGCGCACAGCAAAGTTGATACTGTGAGATTTCAAAACTTTTAAAACCTTGACTAGAGAGAGACAACGAATACAGCAAAATACCGTTTGTATGAGCAGGTTCCTGTTTCAGTTGTTACTCAGCACTGTCAACACTTTGTTCAACATTTTTATAAGCCATTGTCTTTTTTAATGTCGAGGAATATTTCACTTTCTCTGGTCATAGGAGTAACAACATGAATTGGCGCATGAGGCAGAAATAATGCAGTGCGACTTTAGTTTCGCCATCAGCTGGAAGACTGTGTCCCCTTTTGCTCAGCGGAGGGAGGGAGAGCGAAGGGATGTTGAGTCGGGTGAGAGGCAGCCTCACCACTGTCCTCAACGGGAGTACCGTTGAGGACAGTGGTGTCTCTCTATCACAGGTGAAGGATCTTTGAAACGAACAAAAATAGTTCTACAAGCAGTTGTTACAACAACAAGAAAATAGCTTAAAGTGTTTTGTCCAAATACTGGTGGATTCAACAATACAATTATGGACGACCTGACCAGAGAGGTCCAGGACCTGAAGAACCGTTTGCAGTTCTCCCAGGGTCAGCTCGATATGTTGAATCAGGAGAACGGCAAGATGACAGCAATCTGTAAGTCATTGAAAGAGGACATCAGTTCTGTGTGTGAATCCATGATAACAATGACGGATACATTTCGAGAGACAATCAATGCGGAACAACATGGTTGTGGACGGAATTGCAGAATCTCCACATGAGACCTGGACGGAGGACAAAGTGAGGGAAATGATCTCTGAGAAATTGAAGATGGACCACAGGAAAATTTAGGTGGAGTGCACCACAGGACTAGAAAACCCACCACCGGCCCAGGTGACAGGCCCAGCATTGTATTTGTCACAGTGGTCAAGTTCCTGAGGTTCAAGGACAAGGTAGCTGTTCTGGAAAGAGCCAAGAACTTGAGAGAAACGTATATCTTACTCAATGAGGACTATCCTGAAGCTGTGCGCCAGAAGAGGAAAGAACTTATCCCAGCCATGAAAGCTGCCAGAGCGCGTGGGGACATTGCTTACATCCGCTATGACAGGCTCATTGTCCACCCTCCCTCCCAGAAACCTGGAAGGGATGAGAGAACGAAGCCTATAGGTTCGTAGCTTCAACCACGCAGCACACACACACACACACACACACCAATTGATTAATGGACTGCTGAATGTATATTTTTTTCTCTTGCTTTGTTTGCACATCTGACTGGCTGACTTACTGCAAATTGAGAAATGTTGTAACTAAACTCAACAAAAAGAAGAAGAAACAGTATTATGAAGCCAAGATCAATTATATAAAGAATGATGGGAAAAAAAACTTTGGAGTACTTTAAATGAAATTATGGGCAGAAAGACAAATTCAACTCCATCTTTCATCGAATCAGATGGCTTACTCATCACAAAACCATTTGATATTGCCAATTAAGTTATTGATTATTTTATTGGCAAAGTGGGCAAATTTAGACAGGAAATGCGAACAGTGAGCCATCGTATTCATGCATTAAAAAAAAAATGAAAGAAAAGCATTGCAAGTTTGAATTTTGCAAAGTTAGGATGGGAGAGGTGGAAAAAGTATTGTTATCGATCAATTAATGACAAACCTCCTGGCATTGACAACTTAGATGGAAAGCTACAGAGGATGGTAGCTGACTCTATAGCCACTCCTATCTGTCATATCTTTAATCTGAGCCTAGAGGAAAGTCTTTGTCCTCAGGCCTGGAGGGAAACCAAAGTCATTCCGCTACCCAAGAGTGGTAAAGCGGCCTTTACTGGTTCTAACAGCAGACCTATAAGCTTGCTGCCAGCTCTTAGCAAACTGTTGGAAAAAATTGTGTTTGACCAAATACAATGCTATTTCTCTGTAAACAAATTAACAAGAGACTTGCAGCATGCATATAGAGAAGGGCTCTCAACATGTACTTCACTGACACAAATGACTGATGATTGGTTGAAAGAAATTGATAATAAGAAGATTGTGGGAGCTGTACTGTTAGATTTCAGTGCAGCCTTTGATATTATTGACCATAACCTGTTGTTGAGAAAATGTATGTGTTATGGCTTTTCAACCTCTGCCATATAGTGGATTCAGAGCTATCTATCCAATAGAACTCAAAGGGTTTTCTTTAATGGAAGCTTCTCTAATGTCAAACATGTAAAGTGTGGTGTACTGCAGGGCAGCTCTCTAGGCCCTCTACTCTTTTCTATTTTTACCAATGACCTGCCACTGCCATTAAACAAAGCATGTGTGTCCATGAATGCTGATGATTTAACCATATACGCATCAGCAACCATAGCTAATGAAGTCACTGAAACCCTTAACAAAGAGTTGCAGTCTGTTTTGGAATGGGTGGCCAGTAATAAACTGGTCCTCAATTTGTAAGTCGCTCTGGATAAGAGCGTCTGCTAAATGATGTAAATGTAAATGTCCTGAACATCTCTAAAACTAAGAGCATTGTATTTGTCACAAATCATTTCCCGAAGTTCTAGACCTCAGCTGAATCTGGTAATGAATTGTGTGGCTTTCGAACAAGTTGAGGAGACTAAATTACTTGGCGTTACCTTAGATTGTAAACTGTCATGGTAAAAACATATTGATTCAATGGTTGTAAAGATGGGGAGAGGTCCGTAATAAAGAGATGCTCTGCTTTTTTGACACCACAATCCAAAAAGTAAGTCCTGCAGGCTCTAGTTTTGTCTTATCTTGATTATTGTGGTCGAGTGCTGCAAGGAAAGACCTAGTTAAGCTGCAGCTGGCCCAGAACAGAGCGGCACGTCTTGCTCTTCATTGTAATCAGAGGGCTGGTATAAATACTATGCATGCCAGTCTCTCTTGGTTAAGAGTTGAGGAGAGACTGACTGCATCACTTCTACTTTTTATAAGAAACATTAATGTGTTGAAAATCCCAAATTGTTTGCATAGTCAACTTACACACAGCTCTGACACACACACTTACCCCACCAGACATGCCACCAGGGGTCTTTTCACAGTCCCCAAATCCAGAACAAATTCAAGAAAGCGTACAGTATTATATAGAACCATTATAGCATGGAACTCCGTTCCATCTCATATTGCTCCAGTGAAAAACAAACCTGGTTTCAAAAAACAAATAAAGCAACACCTCACGGCACAACGCCTCTACCCTATTCGACCTAGAAGGTTTGTGTGTATGTATTGATATGTAGGCTACGTGTGCCTTTCGTAAAAAATTAAAATAAAATGATGTAGTTCTGTCCTTGTCTGTTTATGTTGTGTATTATGTCATGTTTCATGTTTTGTGTGGACCCCAGGAAGAGTAGCTTCTGCTTTTGCAACAGCTAATGGGGATCCTAATAAAATACCAAAATACCAAAATAACCTCCCTCCCTTCCCTCAGACTGACCATCAGATGCAGGACATCAGTCCATTAAAAAAAAAGAGCAAATTATTATGCTCACTCAGCTGTGCCTCACAGTGATACAACAAATGATCTATTACCAGTGTGATCATATACCTAATTTCTTTAAATATCATTTCAAAATGGTCTGAGAACAACAATGCCAGGGCAATTCAAGCAAAGCCAATATGCAGTGATATTGGGCCTATAGACTACTGCACAAACCTCATTGCTACATAACTGTTTTTAATTGGTTAATGTTGCATAGGCTTGATACGTTTTTTTAAGTAATGTTGTTTTTTTTATCTGAGAGGTAGATCTTGGCTTGCATTTTGACTCAGAAAGTGATCTTGTCTAGAAAAGGTTGTTGACCACTGGTGTAGCGCAACAACAGTGATTCATTGAGACATCTCTAAAGGCACTCTTGCACTCCACCCTCTGTACTCTGGCCTTATCTACAGCAGGCCTACACGCCTGCAGCTAAAGCAGACCAAGCAAGAGCATTTTCATACCATGTATTCATTATGTTAATATGAATGTCATATGTGTGTGTGTGTGTGTGTGTGTGTGTGTGTGTGTGTGTGTGTGTGTGTGTGTGTGTGTGTGTGTGTGTGTGTGTGTGTGTGTGTGTGTGTGTGTGTGTGTGGTGTGTGTGTGCGCGTGCTTGCGTGTGTGCGTGCATGCGTTTGCACACTTGTGTGTTTGCACACTTGTGTGTTCAAGGGGGAATTCTGGACTTATTCAGAGAATAGGTAGATTTTAATTGAAAATAGCTCTGTACTTACATGCATGGGTGACTGAGAAGCTGTTGGACGACTCAAGGTTGTCTACGTTGTAGTTGAGATGGAAGGGTTTCTCCGTAGTGTTCTGGTTGGTGTTGTAGAGCTGAACAGCGAACCTAAATGCACTGTGCTCCTGCACAGTGGACCGCATGAACAGACCACCTAGAAGACATACACATACATAATTAACTTAGGTTACCGTTTCCCGTTATTTTTATTTACACCCAACTCTCTCTGCCTCATCTTTTTATAGAGCCCGGAGGGAACCCCAAAACCAACCCACGGATGGTAGGTACAGAAAAAAGGGTTCCAAAAGGGTTCTTCGGGTGTCCCCATAGGATAACTATTTTTGGTTCCAAGAAGAACCCTTTTTGCTTCCAGGTAGAACCGTTTCAGGTTCCATGTAGAACCCTCTGTGGAAAGGGTTCTACATTTAACCCAAAAGGGTTCTACCTGGAACCAAAAAGGGTTCTTCAAAGGGTTCTCCAATGGGGACAGCCGAAGAACCCTTTTAGGTTCTAGATAGCACCTTTTTATCTAAGAGTGTAAGGTAGCCTCCCGCCTGTCGAGCAAAACTTGAGGAAGATATCGACTTCAGTGGCACTTGACTTGTATGTAGCTTACATAACAATTTTTCAACTGCAAGGAACCCCGTCGTTCTGTTTACACACGGATCTCAAGTGTTAAACCAAACACCACTGATCATGTAGGCAGGATCGTCCGTCAAATTAATTAGGAGAAAGAGATCACACATTATCCGCCTTTACTCCTCATCATTCTGTCTACAGAAATCTGTTACTGCGGAATTGCTCCCTCCAATTTTCACCCTTATGAAGTTGCAACATTTTCCATTCAATGTGGTAGTTTGTTTCAAGCATTTTGCTAACATTGAATTTCTTAACATCTGTAATCAAAGTGGCGGAGCAAGTTCACAATTTCTTACTGCAAGCAAAGCAAGTTAGCCTACTTCATAACACACCCAATAAAGGTCCTGCTCCGAAAATAACCAAGAACGGTCATTATCCATAAAATTGTAAAAGCCAGAATGATTCTTTCATGATTTTTTAATTATTTTACTCACCACTTACCTATATTAATCTGATTGGGAAATCCCGCGAGTGATCTGCCCGAAAGCCACAATAAAAATAGAACCACGTTTTGTGCCATTTTATCAATTTCGCCAACCCGTGTACTCAACTCCTTAAAAGGGCCTGCCTAAGCAAATTCATAAGCAACCCCGCGGACGCTGAAAATCCTCCAGATTTATGATGGTCGCTCACAGTGCACCAATTGCGTACAGGGCTGCCGAGCAATTTTCTGCAACTGGGAGAGGCGAGGGAGAGGGGGAGAGGGAGAGAGAGCGAGAGAGCGAGAGAGAGAGAGAGAGAGAGAGAGAGAGAGAGAGAGAGAGAGAGAGAGAGAGAGAGAGAGAGAGAGAGACTTATCCGTCCCAAAGATGGTGGTGGAGAAACTAGCGGATCTGATTAAGAAAACAAGCTTCTCCGATTGGGCCTTTTGTCGATTTGGATCAAATGTTATCTGACGCTGAATCAAAAAGCGTCCCTCCTTCCATGTGCACCAGACTCCGTTACCCCGCTATGGCTAGCCCAACTCGGCTCCACCAGTAGGACTGACTGCAAGACACAAGTGCCACGCTCGTCCACATTACTCCGCGCACAATCAATAGGAGAAAGCACTGCAATCACAGGCGGCCAATGCTTTTCAATTGGCTACAGTAGCTAACCGCTTACAGCGGGTGCAGCTGCCGCCTCAAGGACATGATGAGGGGAAATTGGTGTTAGTGAGCACGGATAGGTTAGAGGCAAAACAAAGAACACAATTGGATTCATAATTAGAAGCTATTCAAAATAGCCCGGAATCTACTATACATAACCTCTGGTATTTGTGAATGCGTTGTCATACTGCTATGAACAGAAGTGACTTACAATTATTGTTAAACATCTATATAGACTAGCCTGTTAAAAACATATGGACTATCTTTGATTTCCTAATTATTTTTAATAGCGTGGGCAAACCGTATCCTAATGTGAACTACTATTCTAGTATGTCTGTGACCTCCTCCTTTCGGAACCCGGGATAGAGAGCGCAGCTCCCGGCATGAGGAGCTGTCCATGGTGCTGAAGTGACAGGAACTGGGGAATGAGAGAAACAGGCTACAAAGCTGTTGGCGATTACGCCTTATAGCCTAAATATTCATATTTGGATCTCTCTATATGTTACTGGTCGTCTTTAATTTTAATTTTCATAATAATTATTATTGCCGTAATTACTGTACCTTTCTTTCACTTATGACGCATGATTGAGATACATGATTGAGACCCACGAATGCCATTGCCTATGTATTTTATCTGAACACACTACAGCCATATATTTATATTTATATGTATGGCTCTGTTGCCTACCACCAATTTTTCGGTTCTCTATGTGTATCCTACTATTTTCTAGAAAGTTCTCAGTGAGTTTAGTCTCCTCTCAACCACCGTCTATCATCACTACCCGTCTATCATCACTACCCGTCTATCATCACTACCCGTCTATCATCACTACCCCTCTATCATCACTACCCGTCTATCATCACTACCCCTCTATCATCACTACCCGTCTATCATCACTACCCGTCTATCATCACTACCCCTCTATCATCACTACCCTCTATCATCACTACCCTCTATCATCACTACCCGTCTATCACACCCTCATCATCACACCCTCTATACACTACCCTCTATCATCACTACCCGTCTATCATCACTACCCCTCTATCATCACTACCCCTCTATCATCACTACCCTCTATCTCACTACCCCTCTATCATCACCTACTCCCTCTATATCACTACCCCTATCATCACTACCCCTCTATCATCACTACCCCGTCTATCATCACTACCCGTCATATCACTACCCCTCTATCATCATACCCCTCTATCACTACCCTCTATCACCACCCTCTATCATCACTACTACCACCCTCTATCATCACTACCCGTCTATCATCACTACCCCTCTATCATCATACCCCTCTATCATCACTACCCGTCTATCATCACTACCCCTCTATCATCACTACCCGTCTATCATCACTACCCCTCTATCATCACTACCCCTCTATCATCACTACCCCTCTATCATCACTACCCGTCTATCATCACTACCCCTCTATCATCACTACCCCTCTATCATCACTACCCCGTCTATCATCACTACCCGCTCTATCATCACTACCCCTCTATCATCACTACCCCTCTATCATCACTACCCCTCTATCATCACTGTGCTCCGCCAAACAGAGGAGCAGTTAGCGGATTACTGCCTTGTTTATCAACAGCAGCAAAGCTCTTCGAAAATTGAATTTTTAATTGCATTGCAAATGGGCAAGACTTCAGCCATTGGTTCTGTAATAGACTGCTTTCCAAATGACTCAAGATCGACAGTCCTCCCTGTCAAACTATACCTATTTAGCACTAATAGACCCCGAGAGCAATGACTCATGATCAACAGTCCTCCCTGACAAACTATGCCTATTTAACACTAATAGACCCCAGAGCAAATTATGAGAGAAATAATATAACACTTGTTGCGTAAATCGCTGTAGTTTATGATGTGACCAACCAGACCTGGGGTTCAAACCCAGGGATTATACGCACCACATTACCTTGTTAGCCTGTTGAGCTAAAGCCTGGGTATTAGTTAGGTAAGCTAATACAAGTGTTCACTATCTTGTCTCTCACTTGATCTTGGCTACATCCCAAATGGCACCGTCCCAAATGGTACCCTATCGCCTATATAGGGCATTACTTTTGACAAGGGCCCAAAGGGATCTGGTCAAAAGTAGTGCACTATGAAGGGTATAGGGTGCCATTTGGGAAACAGACTTGTCTTAGTTAAATCTATTTCTACGGTTACATCATGGAGCTGTGGTGCCTGCCAGCTGATGACATCATTCTTGGAGAGAACCTGAGGATGGCTTTGTAGTCAGCAAGACTTTGAACCGTAGCTGGTTCAGAGATACAGGGTACAGTATACCCTAGCTGGTTCAGAGATACAGGGTACAGTATACCATAGCTGGTTCAGAGATACAGGGTACAGTATACCCTAGCTGGTTCAGAGATACAGGGTACAGTATACCCTAGCTGGTTCAGAGTTACATGGTACAGTATACCATAGCTGGTTCAGAGATACAGGGTAGAGTATACCCTAGCTGGTTCAGAGATACAGGGTACAGTATACCCTAGCTGGTTCAGAGATACAGGGTACAGTATACCCTAGCTGGTTCAGAGATACAGGGTACAGTATACCCTAGCTGGTTCAGAGATACAGGGTACAGTATACCCTAGCTGGTTCAGAGATACAGGGTACAGTATACCCTAGCTGGTTCAGAGATACAGGGTACAGTATACCCTAGCTGGTTCAGAGATACAGGGTACAGTATACCCTAGCTGGTTCAGAGATACAGGGTACAGTATACCTTAGCTGGTTCAGAGATACAGGGTACAGTATACCATAGCTGGTTCAGAGATACAGGGTACAGTATACCCTAGCTGGTTCAGAGATACAGGGTACAGTATACCATAGCTGGTTCAGAGATACAGGGTACAGTATACCATAGCTGGTTCAGAGATACAGGGTACAGTATACCCTAGCTGGTTCAGAGATACAGGGTACAGTATACCATAGCTGGTTCAGAGATACAGGGTACAGTATACCATAGCTGGTTCAGAGATACAGGGTACAGTATACCATAGCTGGTTCAGAGTTACAGGGTACAGTATGCCCTAGCTGGTTCAGAGATACAGGGTACAGTATACCCTAGCTGGTTCAGAGATACAGGGTACAGTATACCATAGCTGGTTCAGAGTTACAGGGTACAGTATACCATAGCTGGTTCAGAGTTACAGGGTACAGTATGCCCTAGCTGGTTCAGAGATACAGGGTACAGTATACCCTAGCTGGTTCAGAGATACAGGGTAGAGTATACCCTAGCTGGTTCAGAGATACAGGGTACAGTATACCCTAGCTGGTTCAGAGATACAGGGTACATGGTGTGTCACGATCGTCCAATGAGGGAGACCAAAGCGCAGCGCGTTGAGCGAACATGACTTTATTATATTAAAGTATAGAACACCAAAACAACAAACAATGACGATACGTGAAGTCCACAGTGACAAAGACTGATACGGAACAAAAACCCACAACCACAAGGTGAAAACACACAGTTTAAATATGGCTCCCAATCAGAGATAACGAGCCGACAGCTGACACTCGTTACCTCCGATTGGGAGTCATTTGAACAACCAAATACAACAACCTAGAAATAGACACAACAGAACTACCAACATAGAAATAAACACATAGAATGCACACACCCTGGCTCAACATAATGAGTCCCAGAGCCAGGGTGTGACAGTACCCCCCCCTAAAGGCGCGGACTGCGACCGCGCCTCAATACGGGCTAAACAAGGGAGGGCTGGGCGGGCATACCTCCTCGGCGGTGGCTCTGGCTCCGGCCTTGATCCCCACCTCCTCTGCAACCCCCCAAAGTACCCCTGGTCCTGTCTAGCCCCGCTGGCCGGAGCCGGACTGACGACACGCGCCCCTGGCTTGGTGCGTGGAGGACGAACGGGCCTTACCAGGCTGACGACGCGCACCACTGCCTTGGCGCGGGGAGCAGGAATGGGCCGGACCGGGCTGACGAAGCGCACCCTTGACTTGGTGCGGAGAGCGGGACCGGGCCGGACAGGGCTGACGAAACGCACCACAGACTTGGTGCGGGGAGCAGGAACGGGCCGGACAGGGCCGATGAAACGCACCCTAGGCTTGATGCGTGGAGCCGGAACGGGCCTCCCCAGGCTGACGACTCGCATCCCTGGCTTGGTGCGAGTAGCAGGAGTGGGCTGGATCAGGCTGACGGCTCGCACCCTTGGCTTGGTGCGAGTAGCAGGAACGGGCTGGACCAGGCTGGCGACGCGCACCGTAGGTTTGGTGCGAGTGGCAGGAACAGGCCGGGTCGGGCTGGCGACGCGCACCGTAGACTTGGTGCGGGTGGCAGGAACAGGCCGGACCGGGCTGGCGACGCGCACCGTAGGTTTGGTGCGAGTGGCAGGAACAGGCCGGGTCGGGCTGGCGACGCGCACCGTAGACTTGGTGCGGGTGGCAGGAACAGGCCGGACCGGGCTGGCGACGCGCACCGTAGGTTTGGTGCGAGTGGCAGGAACAGGCCGGGTCGGGCTGGCGACGCGCACCGTAGACTTGGTGCGGGTGGCAGGAACAGGCCGGACCGGGCTGGCGACGCGCACCGTAGGTTTGGTGCGAGTGGCAGGAACAGGCCGGGTCGGGCTGGCGACGCACACCGTAGGTTTGGTGCGAGTGGCAGGAACAGGCCGGGTCGGGCTGGCGACGCACACCGTAGGTTTAGTGCGTGGAGCAGGAACAGGCCGGGCTGGGCTGGCGACGCACACCGTAGGTTCTGTGCGTGGAGCAGGAACAGGCCGGGCTGGGCTGGCGACGCACACCGTAGGCTTGATGCGAGAAGCAGGAACAGGCCGGGCTGGGCTGGCGACGTACACCGTAGGCTTAGTACGTGGAGCAGGAACCGGCCGGGCTGGACTGGCGACGCACACCGTGGGCTTGGTGCGTGGAGTAGGAACAGGCCGGTCCGTACTGGGAACACACACCACTGGCCTTAACCGGGGATCAGGAACGGGCCGGACCGGACTGGTAACACACCTCAGTCTCTCACGCCGTGCCTCAACTGCTTCCCTCCCTCTACTCGCCAATGGCTCCCGTAATCCGGTAGCCTTCTCTCCACGTCTCCCTGTGGCAGCCTCCTGCTGCCCATCCGCCCAAGCCATGTGCCCCCCCCAAAAAACTTTTTGGGGTTGCCTCTCGTCCTTCCGACGATGGCCCTGCTGACGCCGTTGCTCCTCTCTCGCCAGGGCCTTGATCCTCCCCCAAGGTCCCTTGCCCCCGAGCATGTCCTCCCAGGACCACGATTTGCCCACCTGGGCCATCGCCAGCCTCTCGATCTCCTTACCCGGCGCTTCCTCCCATGTCCAGTCTCCTTGCTCCTGGACACGCTGCTTGGTCCTTCTTTGGTGGGTTTTTCTGTCACGAT